ATAAACCTGCTTTCCCTTCTGTCCTCTGAGTGCTCTCTTCCTTGGTCTGCTGCTCTCTGAGGGTCACTTCACAGTGGGTTCAAGGCCACTGTGGGCTACATAGCAAGACCCTTTCTCAAAACACAAAACAAAACAAAACCAGAATGAGAAAGAAAGGAGAAAGAGAGAAAGAGAGAAAGAAAGAAAGAAAGAAAGAAAGAAAGAAAGAAAGAAAGAAAGAAAAAGAAAGAAAGAAAGAAAGAAAGAAAGAAAGAAAGAAAGAAAGAAAGAAAGAAAGAAGAAAGAAAGAGGCCAGGGATTTAGCTCAGTGGTTTTGCCGCCTGCTCTGCAAGCGCAAGGACCCGAGTTCAATCCCTGGCACCAAAAAAAAAAAAGAAAGAAAGAAAGAGGGGGAGAGCAGGCTTGGAATGTAGCTCAGTGGTGTGTAGACCTGGGTTCCACCCCCAGCATGAAAAAGACAAAGGAGGATGATTGACTGTCCCCACATATGCCCCACTATTGTCACCTGCCATGAGGTTACACAATCCAAGGGATCCTTACCAGTTTTGCCATCCTGCTTGGACTCCCAGCCTCCAGAACGGTGAGTCAGGTAGGCTCCTTTCTTACTAACGCATCTGCATCTGTGCCGAGGGTAGATTGTGACAGGAACGCAGAAGGGACTGACGCTCATGGCCCAGTGCAGCCTCACCCAGGGCTGTAACTGTTCCCATTCCTTCACGGTGCTGGGATGGATGCTGGGATGGAACCCAGGCCCCCACTGTGCTCCTCTTGCCGATGATGGGGTGGTGGCTCAGAGCTGCTTGTCATGCACAGCTTGTGGCAGTATCGATTGGTGCAACCCCCTGGAGACACCAGTTGGTGCGTGGCGGTGCGGCTGGCCCTCTGCACCCAGGGCTCTGCATCCCCAGCTACAAACAAGTGCAGATGGAAGATACAACTCGCGTCTGTGCCCAACATGCAGAGTTTTCTTGTTATGAGTCTCTAAATAAACACAGCATGACAACTATGTCCGAGGTATTCATGTGGTATGGGGATGACTTAATGTCTTCGAGAGGACACTGGGCAGCGGCTCTGTGGCAGAGCACTTGGCTAGCACATGCAGATCCCAGGGTTCCACCCCTGGCACTGCAAAAAATAAAATAACCTGGGCCGGGGATTTAGCTCAGTGGTTTTGCTGCCTGCTGCTCAAGCTCAAGGACCAGAATTCGATCCCCAGTACCAAAAATAAAAAAATAAAAAAATAAAATAAAATAACCTGGTGTGGAAGTGCACGCCTGGCATCCCAGCACTCTGGGAGGCTGAGGCAGGAGGATCACAAGTACCAGCCCAGCCTGGGGAATTTAGCAACTTAGTAAGACCCTACCTCAAAATAAAAAATGAAAAATGAGCTGGAAGCTGGGTGTGGTGGCCCACACATGTCATCTGAGCACTCTGGGGGCTGAGGAGGTTTTCTGTGGCTTTGAGGCCAGTTTGGACTAAATAAATAGTGAGACCCTGTCTCAAAAACAAAAATGAAACAAACAAATAAAACAACAAGAAGGGCCCAAGATGGTAGAGTTGGGGGCTACTACTGAGGTATGACTCAGAGGGGCCATAAGGGAGCCCCCAGCAAATGGGAGTGTTGGGCTCCTGCTGAGGGTCACACTAGACAAGAACCCTGCCCTCGTGTTCCAGAATATTCTGTAATGTATATCCTAATGGGAGAGCTACATCTGAGACACATACACTGATAAATGACCAAAGCTTTTCCATTTGGCAATGACTGCCATGAAGAAAATAGGCTGAGAGATTGGGGGGGGGGGTCTGATTTAGTCAGATCAAGGAGAATATCCCTGAGGAGGTGATGATGCAATGTAGTAAAAGTAGAAGACAGAATGTTCTAGAATGTTCTGGACCTTTCCAGAACACTGTGGAAAGGTCCAGAATATTCCAGGTGGACATAATGTGGAAGGCCTTAGCCCAATGCCAGAGGGGGCTCTAGGGACAGAGATGAGGCCGCATTAGCTCTGGAAAATGGGCCAGGCAGAGTGAGAAAGGAGAGTGTTGACAAAGATGTATTGCAAGCAGCCTCCTCAGTGTGTGGGACGCAGCTGTGACCGAGACGCCTAGAGTGTCGCATCTGGCAGAGGGACCATTTATTAAACTAATCATCACACAAGCAAGGAAGCAACCACTTAATTGTCAACATGATAAACGCTTCAGTTGGGGCATTGTGACTTAGAGGGGCCTGGGCTGAGCTGGGAGGTGACAGAGGTACAGCAGAGCAGAAGCAAGGGCCAGGAGGGACACACAAGAAACAGCCACCAGGAAGGGGTCTTGTGGGGACTCTGAAGAAGGACCCCAGCAGGGACACAGGCAGCCTCGGGAGGGGGTTTAGCCCAACAGCCTTCCGGAAGCAACAGTCCATTCCAGTCTTCCCATTCGAGCATTTCCAGTGTCCCTTGCATGTTTGTTGGACACCAGGGCTGTCTCACTCCCTCCCCTGCACAGTGGTTCCCACCCCCAGCCAGATCACTGTCCTTGTCACCAGGAAACCAGGATGGCCTGTTCCCATGGCAACCCTCTGCTACCAGACACATGGGTGCGCCTGCTGGTTGCTATGACGCCAGCCAGCCACCCACCACCACCAGGTCTGCGTGGGATGCAGGCAGAAGATAAAGAAGTGGGCAGAGCCCAGGGGACAGAGGCCCCGGATGTCCTGCCGGGAGATGCCTCCAGGGTCTACATTTGTGGATGCTGAGATCATTGGCAGAGCCAGCCCCGCATCTGCAGTGTGCCCAGGATGGTATGTGGAGGAGACAGGCCAGGAAGTCATAAAGGAATCCCTGAGCCAGGTATGGTGGTGTGCACCAGTCATCCCAGCACTCGGGAGGCTGAGGCAGGAGGATCTCTACAAGTGCGAGGCCAGCCTGGGGTAGATAACAAGACCCTGTCTCAAAACAAAAGAATTAATGCTCTAGACACATGGTACAAAACAAACAAGTAAAGAGCACCCATGCAAGGGTGCTTATTCTTAAAGGAGGGGCCAGAGGTTCAAGAAAAGCCAATCAGTTATGGTTTTTTTCAGTTCCAAGAAATGCAGCATACGGGCTGAGGACTTAGCTCAGTGGTTCCGCTGCCTGCTTGCTTGTAAGCCCAAGGTCCCGAGTTCGATCGCCAGTACCAAAAAGAAGAAATGCAGCATAATTTTTTATCTAAGCCAAAAATTGAGAGGCAAGGTGGATTTCAGGCACCGCTTGCTCCAGGACTTCCAACAATGGCCTTAGACATTGTTTTTCTCCCTCTCTGTGTCAGGCACTGTCATCGTGACCACAAGCAGCCCTCAGCAGCTCCAGATCTACAGCCTCCCTGCTCAGCAACTTTAGTTAACAGGACACATCCCTCCATCAATCCCAGCTGTGTCCGGGGTGTCCAAGGGTGATCAGCCTGAGGCAGCAGACTTCTCTTAGGAAAGAGGAAGGGGGGAAAGCTCTTCAGAAAGCAAGCAGGAACCGGACACAGTGATGCACACATGGAATCCTAGCTACTTAGGAGGCTGAGGCAGGAGGATTTCGGGTTTGAGCCCAGCCTAGGATCTAGTGAGATGCTGTCTCAGAATAAAAATAAAAAGGCCTGGGGATGTGGCAGAGTGTGAAGCCCTGGATTCCATCCCCAGCATCACAGAAAGATAGATAGATAGATAGATAGATAGATAGATAGATAGATAGATAGATAGAAAGAAGTAGAGAGGCCAACTTTGAAACAAATCCTTATGAGCCAATTATGAATGTGGCAAGAACAGAGAAAATGGACAGAGGTCTGGGCACCCAAGAGAGGCTGTGTCATTATGGGAGACTGGTCTTCCACTGAAGCAGACCCCTTCAGGGATGACCTTGGCAGAGACATGCAAGTGCAAAGGCCCTGGGGCTGGAAGGAGCTGGGCAGGCTTGGAGGATTCAGGGACAGTGGCATGTGGCTGGGTCACAGTGATAGCCTCCCCCCCATCGAAGTAGTTAGAGTTGGCCATGGGGGTGGATTGTGGGGCCCTCGAAGGTGCATTTGGATGTTTGGGCTCCTCTCGGCAACCGCAAACCCCAGGAGACAGCAATGTCCAGGATGGGATTTGCCTCATACCCGATGTAACTGATGAGGGCAGGAGGAGAAGCAGGGAGCCTGGAGAGGAGGTGTGGGGACCTCAGTGGTCACCGTGGAAAGGAAGGGGCCAGTCGGCTGGAGCTGTCTGAGGCAAAGGACAGGCTTTGTGGATGGCATTGATGAGTGATGATCAATAAGAATCAAGATGGGAGGGGCCGGGGATTTAGCTCAGCGGTTCCGCCGCCTGCCTCGCAAGTGCAAGGACCCAAGTTCGATCCCTGGTACCAAAAAAAAAGAATCAAGATGGGGCTCAGGTGTCCAGAGCCACAGGTGTGCAGGCGAAGGGCAGGGCAGGCCTCTGGAGACTCCTAAGGGGGTTTGGAGGGAGGGGCTCGGTGGTCCCAGCTTGCATGGCCGGTGACAGTGGCTGTGGGGACAGGGAGGTGAGAGGAGCCCATGGGACTGGGCAGCCTTTCGGTCGGTCCCATTGGAGTCCTCCAGGACACAGGCGGGGGGGGGACAGGGCAGAGCATCGCTCCCAGCATCGCCAGACCAGAGACCACAGCATCACCCCTCATCCGGCCTGTCTCACCCCGTCACCAGCCAAACCTCCACACCTCTGAAATCAGCTCCTTTAAGCACACACCTGTCATCCCAACACTCTGGGAGCCTGAGACAGGAGGATCACAAGTGCCAGCCCAGCCAGGAAGGGGGGATGCACACCATTTTTCAGGGACACGCCCTCCCTGGACATGTGACTGGGCCAGGTGACAGGGGGCTGTCCTTGCAGGACCTGGCCGGTCTGGGCTCCTGCCAGCAGGGACTACCAGGGGCTTCCACGGCGACATGGTGGCCAGGAGTCACAGCCACGGCCAGGCCGCTCCCCGGGGCAGACAGGGTATGGAACACAAGAGGCACAGGCAGGATGCTCTTTATGTACACGCTTTATTCCTCCCCAACCCGCCCCCTCCGCCCACCGGGGAGTCCCCAGGGTCCCTGCTCCTGGAAGGGGGGTCTCGGGGAAAAAGAGGGAAACTGCAGAGGAAGTGGCTCCCTGTGCCTCAGCCCCCAGAGAGGGGATAGAGAAGGAAAAAGGAAGGCAACACGAAACGGGGGTTCAGAAACTCCGAAAGCCACAAGATCGAAGACAAAAAGCAGCATGGCCCCAAGGAAGTGGGACAGGAGGACCCCAGGCTTGGCCCCCTGGGACTGAGGAGTGCAAGACAGGGCAGTGAGGAACAAGGAGAGCTGGGGTGGAGGGGCACGAGGACGCCCCCACCTTGGACTTGAGGCACAGGACAGGGAGGCCCCAGGGGTGTCCACTTGGCCATGGGGCTACAGCTTGGTCAGGTCCAGCTTGAGCTTGTAGGGTGGGGGGCTGTCCTCGAAGGCATACGACGGGGGCGGGTACAGGGGCCAGTCTGGCTCCACCACAAAGCCCTTGTGCTGCTCCAGGGTCAGCGGCTGTGGGGGTGGGGGTGCTCAGGCCCCAGCCCAGACAGGGCTCCCTCACTGTGTCTGAAGCCCCCTCCCGTGTCCCCACTGGTCCCACCTACCTGGAACTTGAGGTGCTGGGCCGGCGCTGTCACCAGCGTGGAGCAGCTCAGCCACAGCATGACCAGCACGGACAGGAAGAGGCAGCAGGCCAGGATCCAGCGGGGCAGCCCCGAGCGCCTGCTGGCCCAGGCTCAGCTCAGCAACTGCCTGCCAGGAGCAGGAGCCATGGGGAGCCCAGCCTGCCTGCCCCCAGGGCCTGCCACCCACCGGGACATGCAGCTGAGGAAGTCATTGTCCTGCTGCTCCTCGGATTCCACCTTGGCCTGGCTGCTGGTCTTCACTCGGATCTTGGCCTTGTGTACCTTGTCCAAGAGCCCTATGGGGTCTGAGAGAGGGGATGTGGCTCAGCAGCCTGCAGGGGTCTGCCATGGGGCCTCAGGAAGCACGGGGCTACCACAGATCGGGGAAAGGAGCCCAGGACCTGGGGCGGTGGGCCTCGAGGTTCAGAATGGAGACTAGGGATGGAACATGGAGCCCTGGAGGATGAAGAGGTGAACCCTGGGAGTTCAACAGACCATGGAGTCCTGGGAGACAGACCAAGGGACACTGCGGGAGGGACAGGGAGCACCAGGAGGTGAGCCACAGAACACTGAGAGAGGTCTGGACTGAGGAACCCTGAAGGTAGACCATGTAACCCAGGACATGGACTGTGGAACGCTGGAAGATGGTCCATGGGCTCTTAGGAGATGCGACGTTGGACCCAGCAGTTGAGGAGGGAGAGCCCCACCCTATGGGGACCACAGGCCAGGAGGACTCTGGTGACAGTGGGCTGGACCTTACCCACATGGACCTCCAGGGCCTCGGGATGTAATCCCCTCCAGGTCACCTCCACTCGCTGCAGGTGGCTGCCCTGGAAGCCCAGGCTCTCCACCGAAGGCTGGGTCTGGACCGGAGCAGATAGCACAGCAGAGCTGTTAGAGGTGCCCTGAGCCCTGGCAGGCAGGGTCTCCTGTCCAGCTGGCATCGAGCTCCACTACAGGCAGGCAGGGAGGATGCTCATGGGTTATGGGCTGTGACATCAGGGACATTCTCTCCTCTCATGGGCCCCTCTGTTGGCCTACACCCCATCCTCCAGCTCCCAAAGGAGGAAGATGACCTAGGCCGAGCCAGCAGAATCACAGTAATTGGCTGAGGGATGGCCTAGAACCCAGCCAGGGCCACGCCCAGCTTAGTGAAAACTGGCTGTGCAGCCTACATCTGTGATTCCAGCACTGAGGGAGGCTGAGGCAGGAGAACTGCAAGTTCAAGCCTGGCCTGGGCAACTCAGGGACTTAAATAGAGCCTGTCTCAAAACAAAAAATAAAAAGTGTTGTGAATGTAGCTCAGTGCTAAAGGCCTGGGTTCCAACCCCCGTATCACTACAAATAAATAACCACTCTAGAATCCCAAAGAGGTTGTAATCTGGAGCCCCCGACGCCCACCCTGTTGCCAGGAGGGAAGAGCACGCCCAGAAATGAAGCTACCAGAGAGGAAAGCTGGGTTGAAGGGCAGAAGGAGACACTGAGCTCCTGAGTCCAGCTGAACCTGAAGCTTGTGCAACACGATTTTGCATCCTCCCTTCTCACCCTGGCCACCCATCTGCCACCGGGGTGGCCCTTGCCAGCCTTCTCACCTGGAAAACCACCACCTTCCCATTGTCAGTCTGCAAGTAGTATGTCCAGGTAGAGGAGACGAAGCCCTGGGCCGAGTTGACCAGGTCATTGCAGAGGGCAGAAAATAAGTCCAGGAGGGACACCGTCCCGTCGGGAGCTTCCAGGACCTTTCTCTGGGGAGGGGAGGGCCAAGGGACAGACATGGTGACAGAGTAGAGTGCTGTGAATGGAGGGGCACTGAGGGATTCACTGTGTTTGGATCTGGCTGAGCGATTTGGTTCAGACCCAGAGCATGTGGCTTGCTGTGTGCCCCTGGGAAAACTCATTGCCTCTCTGGGCCCTAAAACAGGAGTAGATGATTCTCTCCCCTCATGGGGTAGCTGTAAGATTTTGATGATATCTCCCCAGCTGCTGGTGCAGCATAGGTTCCAAATGACCAGCGGCCACGAGTCCCACAAGGCCCTCCTCACCACCCCGTTCGAACGGGAAGAGGTGGCGCGGTACCAGGACTGCGCTGCTCTAAGGGCAGAAGCCTGGAGTGAAGCAGGGAAAGGCCCTTCTGGGGAGCCCCAGGCATGGGTCTCTGGTTGTGCTGCATGACTTCCTGTACCTCAGTTTCCTCCAAATGCAGCTGAGCAATGCCCACTTCTGCCCCAGGCCCTGCGTGCTTGGGAGGGTGCTCTGCCTTGAACCTCCAGCTCTACCCCCCTCAGATGACAGTGGCCACCTCCGAGTCACAAGGAAACTGCTCAGCCCAGCGCCTGGCAGCCTGGTGCAGTGAAGATGACCGAGGAGAGAAGCAGCCACAAGCCCTGGTGGCCTCAAACTTCTCTGCCACAGCCCCAACTGCAGGACCTGACACGTGGGAGGGACAGCACGCCTGACGTCTTCAGGTGGCAGGAGGGATGTGGGACGGGCTAGGGTCAGGCCTGGGACCACGATGAGTGTTTGATACCCGAACAGTACTTGTGTTCACTGCCATTTACCCTGCAAAGGGTGGGAGGTGTGGTGACAGGTAGTAGGTCCCACGTCACAGAAGTGACCACGAGGGCAGGAGAGGTGACAGGCAGGGCTGGGGGAGGTCTGGGGGGATGGCCCAGGACTCAGCGCAGGGCGCCCACCTTCTGGAGCTGGGACTCAGGCTTGGGCTGGGGGGCCTGGATCCAGCAACCCTCGCGGCAGGCTTGCTGCTCCGTGTCCTTCACGTAGGCTTCCACGCATGCTGTGGGGACGACAGGGGCGGTAACTGGGGGTGGCCCTCCCTCGTCACCGCTCCCCGCCCCGGCGCACCTGGGCCCCCCCGACCCTCACCTGCTTCGCATTCGGTCTGGGTGGCGTTGGGCTTGGAGCTTCTGGCCACGAAGCGGCAGATGGCGAACAGCCGGCAGCCGCGCTCGCAAGCGCTGATCAGGACGGCCCTGTCGTAGGGGGACTCTGAGGGGACCTCGGGCCCTGCCTGGGGGGGACACGGGGCTCAGCGGGGGTAGGGGCGGAAGGCGGTGAGGACCGGAAGCATAGGGGACAGAGGAGGGCAGAGGGAGGAGGGGCGATTTGGTCCTTCAATCTAGGGAGGTTGGAGGAAGCTAAGAATATCAGAGGCTCTTAGCTCTAAGGAGGAAGGAGAGGGAACGACTTTGGGAATCCATCGGAATGGAGTCTTAGGGCTCCAGGGAGGAGGCGCTTGAGAGAGATTCTCAGGCCTGGAGGGGGGGATCGGCCTCTGGAACAGGTTTGGGTGGGCTAATGGCTTGGGGGACTGACAGCTGTGCAGGGAAGAGGACGCACAGGAGGAGGAAGGCGGGGCCTGGGCATCCAGAGGTTCTTGCGCAGCAGAGTTGGGGGGAGGCCGGAGGTGACATCGGGAGCCTCAGCCCCAGCCCCAGCCCCTCCCTGCTTTGAAGGACCCCCACGTCGGGCAGGCTGTGGATCCCCAAACCCTCCCACCCTCGGGAGGGTCATCCCTGCCACCCCCGCCCTGGTTTCGCGGTCACCGCGTCCCGCATCCCCGCCCCTCCCCCACCAGGATTCCCGAGCTGCGCGCGTCACCTGCGAGGGCCGCGGGCCGGGGTCCCGCTCGCGACAGCGCTGCTGACAGCTCTGGGTGTCCCCGACCTGGGGGGCGAAGGGGTCGTGGGCCGGCGGCGCGGGCGCGGCGGGCGGGGATCCCACCAGCAGCAGCAGCAGCAGCAGCGGCGGCGGCGACATCAGCGCGGCCGCAGCCATGGCCGGCGGTGCGGGACGCGGGCTGCGGGCTGCGGGGCCGGCGCTGACGTCACCGAGCGAGGCAGTCTGGGAAGGGGGGGCGGGGATGGGGCTGCGGCACCGGGGTGGGCGGGCAGGTGCATCCGGGCCCCCAGCCGGGGCCAGCTCTGAGGTCTCAGGCACCTCCCTGGTCCCCAGGGGCCGGGCATCAATGGAGCGCTAGGAGCCAAACGAACAAGATGTACGCTGCGCCCACGGTTCGAGGGTGTCGGGAGGGCCAGGCATCGGGGACGGGGAACAGGGGGGTCCCAGCGAGGGAGGCGCCAGGCCCCAGGCAGGAGCCGAGGCAGGAGCAGGAGGAGGAATGGGCCCAGAGGCTGACACCCAGACGGAGCGTGTAGGTGAAGAGTTCAGGGCCCCTGGGTCCCTCGGGCCTGGCACTTTCCCCTTGGTACCCAGGCCAGGCGGGCAGCAACCTGTGCGCTGTCCCCTCCTCCTGGAAACCTGAGCCCCTCAAGCCCCCTCCACGAGCTGCCTTCCTCTGGCTCAGGCCGGATGCTGGAGCCTGGGGGAACCAGGCCCTTGTCCCCCACTCCCTCGCTGCCCGGGCCTTTATGGGCAGGACGCAGAGGTGCCCTGGGGCTGTTAAAGTTCCTAATTCTCGTGGGAAAACCCGGGCCAACAGGCACACGTCTGGCTTCCCTCAGTACCGCTCCCACGGTGACACTAACTTCAAGACCTCGCATTAGGAGCCCCCGGCTCCCTCTCCTTCAGGCATGGACGTGGGGACGCCCCTAAACCCCGGTCTTCTACACAGATGTCCCAGGCCCGCTGCAGGGCCCGGCGCAGGTGCCAGCAGAGGCCGCGTGGCCCCTTGACGCCCCGCCCCCGCAGACGGGCGACAGCCTCGCGGGGTCGGCCGGTCGGAGGGCGCCGCAGGTTCCGGCCGGGGAGGAGGGGGCGGTGCCCCTTCCCCGCCGGCTGCTCGCTTTCATCTCGCGGCCCGGCGGCCCCCACGTGGCTTAATCAGGCGCGGCTGTGCCTGGCGGACCCGAACATCTGGATCCCGGCGCGCCCCTCCCCCGCCCCGCCCCGCCCCGCCCCGCCCGGCCAGGGCCTCCCGAAGCCAGGACCCCGGGACCCGGCCGGCCCAGCCCTGGGAGCCTCCCTGCAAGTTGTGACCCACCTTGTCCCCATGTCACACGTAGGAAAACCAGGCTCCCCGACTCTGGGCAGAGCAGGATTCAAGCCCACACATGCCAACTCTTGAGTCCCCAGCGCCTAACCTTTCACAGTGGCTGTCGTTCATGGATTGCAAACAAACATTTCTTGCAACCAAGGTAGGGGACGAGCACTGGTAGCATCGCTCTATTTCCAAATAAAGCAATCGGGGCCCAGCTTTGGCCGAGGGGATCGGGCCAGGTGACCGGCGACAGGAGGACAGAGAGACCTGCAAAGGCAGGAGAAGTATCGCTGAGGGCGTGGGGACAAGGAGAGACACCCATTCCCCTTTGCAGGACGGGAAACTGAGGCTGGGGGGTTAGACCACTGGCCCAGGGCGCCCGACAGGCGGGGAGACTGATGGTGGCTCCCCTTTTCCGCAGTCAGCGGAAGAGCCCTCGACCCGGCCCCCAGGTGAGCCCGCGCCCGCCGTCCCCGGGGAGCGGGTCCAGGTGAGGGGCGGGCGGCCGGCGAGCGGCCGGGTCGGGTTTCAGGAAATCCGCCGACATTCCTCCGGGGCTTAAGAGGGAAAGTTGACTCGGCACCGCCCCTCTCCCCCCACTTCCTACCCCCCGGGGCGCCCGGCGGGGGCGGGCGCGCGGGGGGCGCTGCGGCCGCCGGCGTGAATCAGCGGCGGGCCGGGAGGTCAGAGCGGGTGTCAGACAAGCGCCCTTTGTCCCTGGCCGCCCTCCCCACGACCCTGATGACCCCCGTCCCCAAGCTGGGTCCAGGCTGGGGAGGAGGCCAGGCATGGTGGCGCCTGCGGCTTGCTGACACCCTTGGGTAGGGAGGAGTAAAGAGGGTGCAGCTGTCCCCCCAGACTCTGAGTTTCTTTGGGGTGCAGAGGGGCAGGGAACCCAGGCATCCTCTTTGGAGTGCACACCAGCCCAGAACAAGACTCAGTGCAACTCTCAGATGTCCCAGGGCCACCTCCAGCGCCTGCCATCTAAGCACCCTGACCTTGAGACCAGGGCATCATGCGGCTCCCTGGGCCCAGGCTCTGGGGTGCAGATTTTAAGCCTGGGCACAGGCCCACACCAGCCGGCTGGACCTCACCCGCCTGACTCCTAAGGCAAAGGCTTCCACACCCAAGCTGCTCCTTCCAAATTGGGGAGCTCTCAGCCAAACTGGCTTGGGGTTCCCAAGGGACCCAGGGGTGCTGTTCCCCCTGAACCACCTGTGCCTCCTCAGTGGCCCGGCATCATCTGGGGGCTGGGGCTGCAGGGCCCCCAACCTCTAGCCCATGGGTGGACTGTGGGTTATGGAAGAGCCCTTCCCCTGGCCCACCGGGTCTGGGAGGCACCCCCCCCATTCCCTCAGTACATTCCCAGCCGTCTTCAAGGGCTTGGTCAATATTTACCTGGAGTTCCTCTCCTGGAAGCCATAGCTGGGCTGGGGAAGAAGGGGTTAATGGAGTTCCCAGGCACCAAGGGCAGGGAAGGGTACCCTGGAGGTCAATTCATTTTCCCTAAAGTCAAAGGGTTGGGACAAAGGTCACCCACAGGGCAGAGGTCATGCTCACGGGTGGGAGGGGGGCAGGACTGGGAAATGGTCCATACCTTTCTCTGGAGGAGGACCAGAGAAGGGGTTCTACCACCTTGGGTCACACAGCAAATCAGGGGGTGTGGGCCACTCTGGGACCCCAGGCTTCCTGGGACTGTTTTCTTGCTACTTGGACTAAGAATTCTCCAATGCCTTCTCATTGTGCAAATATTTATTGAGCTCTTCTTTGGTGCTCACTGGACCCATCGTGGGGCCCTGACTAAGGATTTTCAGGGTGCCCAAGATCCAAAGAAAGGAAGGCTCAGGACAGGGAAAGCAGTGGTTTTCGGAAGTAGGCTACAAAGACAATAAAGGAAAGACGGGGTGGAGTGTGCTGGAGAGGGTGAGGCCTCTCAGAGGACTGGGGAGTCCCAAAGAGAAGTTGGAAGGGTTGGGGAGCAGCACCCCAGCCCCAGGAAGAGCCACGGGGAAAGGGCCTGTGGTGGTGAGTCCCGAGGGTTCGGGGAGCTGGGCTGCAACAAAGGGGAGAGAGGATGACGGAGAAGGTGGCAGGGAGGAGAAGCTGGGGTTGGCTGCTTTTAAAAGTTCCCTCTGCTTGCCGCTCAGACAAAGGCCGCAGGGTTAGGGGCGAAGGCCCACCACAGGCTGGGCCGCAGCATCCCAGAGGGAAGCCAAGGGGCCTGGCCCGAGATGAGGTGGGGAGAGGGGTCGGAATCTCAGAACGGGATGCGTTTTGGAATCAGAGCCAACAGGATTTGCTGATGGATTGGACGTGTGGGAAGAGCGCAGGAGAGTCGTCACGCACGCTTCCAGGTCTCCAGCCTGAGCACCTGGCTGGCTGGGGGAGGAGCAGGGCCGGGAGGGGGAAATGAAGGCTTTTGCTCCAGAAGCCCGAAGTTCCCCCAGGAGGGGCCAGACCCCCTGGGGCGCATGTGCAAGGCAAGGGCTGTGGGGGAGGGGCGGAGGACCCTCCATTCAGCCCAGCCCTGCGGCCTCCACTCAGCCGTGGCACCGCCTGGCAGGTAGGACCATGACAGCACTTCACAGAGGGGACAAACGGGCCTGGGCCACCTCTGCTCCTGGAGAGAATTCGGTGCTGTGCCAAGAGCTTCGATGTGGAGACTTCTGTCGCACTCCATGTTCTCACGGAAAGCTTTAGGTTCCCGGCCCTGCGCAGAGACACTGAGCAAGAGGCCCGGGTGGCCCCGGCAGAGGCAGGGCCGGCTTTGGTTTCGCCTCCCTCTCCTTCCCATCCAGGGTCCAGATGGGGTGCCCTGCGCCGCCAGGTCCCATTCATAGGTCTTTGACATTCTGGAGCCTGGGCTGGGGATCCAAGAAGGGGCCGCCTGGAAGAGACAAAGGTGGGGGAGCCCTAAGCCCTCCTGAGACTCGACCCCCTCGCTGGCTGGGGACAGGGAGGGAGGGTCCAGGCCTGTCAGGGAAGGGACAGTTAAAGCCCATGCGTTTCCGAGGCTTGCGGGGGGAGGGGGCCGGGACCCCCGGGAACTCGCATTTCAGACACCCTCTCCGGTGGCCTTGGAGACCAAGAACCCGTTCTCCTGCGCCCCCGGATTGGGTGGGGACGAAGAGGGGGATGAGACGCCCGGCCGGGAGGGGTCCCGAAACCGAGCAGTGGCCAAAAATAATAACAAGGAGAAAGATCTTTGCGCAAAAGAAGGGAGACAAACTATGCGTCGCTCCGGGCGGGCGCGTTACCTGGAGCGGGCGGACGGGCGGGCGGTGCCCGCCGGAGCGATTACTCACCGCGTGGCGCACCCCACCCGCGGGCCGCTGAGTGGATTTTTCCGTAGCGGGGAGACAGAATGCGTCCGGGGAGCAGTCCTCGCCACTTTCCTCTTGGGAATCCCTGATACCCCCAGTGCGCCTGGCCCCAGTTCCCACCGGGCCCACAGTCCCTGTGTGTCCACGCGGGAGCTGCATCCCGGGCTCCGAGATTCCGCCGAGCCACTCCGACCCACTCCGTGCGAGGGGGACAGCGAGCCAAGGCTCCGTGCTTTCCTGTCTTTCTCCTTTCCTCCCGCAAAGCCTCGGGCCGGGGAGGCTGCGCGCAGGGATGAAGTGGAAGGGAGGGCCAGGCCGGTGGGACCCGGGCGCCAGGAGGACCGGACCGAGGCTGGGGGCGACTTCCCGGCCCCGGGGGAGGAAGAGGGGCTGGGGGGCGGGGCTCGGGGACCGCTCCGTGGGAGGCGGGGCCGAGCGGTGTGGGGGCCCTGACGCGAGACTGGAGGGAGGGTCGGGAGAAGCAGGGCCGGGGGGCCCGAAGGGAAGCGGGGCTAGGCGAAGGGTGCGGAGCAATGGGCAGAAGGACGGAGAAGGGACTGGGGGCGCCGGCTCCCCCATTGGGGTTGGGGAGCCTGGAGCTAGAGGGGTTGGGGAGGGAGGTCCCGGCCGTGGGGAAGGAGCGGGGGCCCCGGGCGCGGGACGGGCACGCAGCTCACGGTGGGGCGGAGGCGGGCCGGGCGGGGCGCATGGTGCCCGGGGGCGGGCAAGCGGGCGGGCGGATGGCGGGGAGGCCGGTGCGGGGCCCGCTGCCCCCCCCCCGGGGCCGGGCCGGGCCGGGCCGGGCCGGGGGCGGGGCCGGGCGGGGCCAGCGCGCATTAGCGCCTTGTCAATTCGGCTGCTCAGACTTGCTGTGGCCTCCGCGTCCGCGCCCAGCGACGTGCGGGCGTCCCGGCCCGCGCCCTTCGCGCCCCGCCGCCGCCTCCCGTGCGCCCCCAGCAGCGCCGGCCCGATGCTCGCCGGACGCCCGCGCCCCAGCGCCCAATCCGCGCGGCGGACGCCACCGCTGCCCCTGCTACTGCTCTGCGTCCTCGGGGCGCCGCGAGCCGAATCGGGAGCTCGTGAGTAACCCGCGCCCCGCTCCCTATCCCGCCGCGGCCCAGGGCGGGCCACAGAGGGTACCGGGGGGAGGGGGCGCGGGCGCCACCTGGACGGCCCGGGAACAAAGGAAGGCGCCCCCGGCGCGGCCCTCGGGGCGCCCTCACCTGCGGGGCGCGCGGCGCTGGGTCTCTGGCCGGAGAGTCTGACTTCCGCGCCAAGGCCTCCTCACCTGGGCCGCCTGAGCCGGGGCACCCGGCCAGGCCTCGGGGGTGGGGGCGGAAGCCTGGAACCCTCCGCGCTCCCTGGGGCGCCGCGGGCGCACGGAGCGGCGGCGACTGCGGGGCACCGCTCCTGGGCGGGCGGGCGGGGGGCGCACGCGGTGGCTCGCTGCTTGCGGGCGCGAGCGGCCCCCCGGGCGAGGGATGAACCCCGCGGGGAGGGAAGGAGGAAGGGAGGGGGCCGCTCTGGCCGACTGGCGCGCAGCCCAGGGTCCCCGGGGACGCGCCTCTCCGCGGGCCGGCGCCGCCGCCCTCCCTCCACCGACCCCGCACTCGGGCATCCGCGAAGTCCCCGCCACCGGCGGCGCTCAGAGCTGTCTTCATCCAGGCTGCACAGGCTTCGAGCCTCCAGCGAGAGGAACCTTTGTGAGCGGGTGGGTGGAAGCGAGAGGGAGCGGGAGCCCGTGATCGGGAGCCCGGGCACCGCGGTCCAGGCTTTGGGGCAGGCCCCCTGGGAGCCCGCAGGCCCGGGCCCTCCCTCCCTGCGGGGCACTCCTGTCCTCAGGCATTCGGGTCCCCCACCCAATGCACACCCCCCCGGGATACGGCCTCCACGTCCAGACCCACTCTGGGACACACCCAGAGACACACAGAGCCTCACCCTGGCTGGTGTCCCGTCACCCTCCTCTCAGACGCACACACACTGCGTCCCAGATGCACGTTCGCACACCATCGCGGCCCGCGCACACATTCCATCCCGACACACACACATTCGTGGTCATACTCTCATTCCATGAGGAGCCCACAGAGGGGCACTCAGGCAGGCACAGTGGCTGGGGAGGCTCGCAGTGACCCTGTGTACCCGGCCAGGCAGGACACACTCTGGGGTGTTACTCCGGAAAGGGCAGGGCTGGGGCACCCCAGGGGCCCAAGCTTGCCCCAAGGCGCCTGCACAGGTGAGAGACTGCCCAGGGCCTCCTGGGGTCCCTGATGGCTCTGCCAGGCGGTGGGTGGCCAGGAGCTTTGTTTCCTAGCCCCAGAGCAACAGACGGAAGTGGGGGGCAGGGTGGTGGTGTGCATGTGTTTTTTCCTTTAAGGGAGAAGAAATTAAATAAAAGATCCTCACACCTCGGCAATATGTTTCTACTTACGGTGTGTCTTAGCACCTGACCGGCGAGCCGGTGGGTCATAAAGTTTCGGCAGGTACCTGCAGGACTCGAGGTGGGGACCCTGGTGGGGACCCTGGGATGGAGGCCACCCTCCCGCTCAGCTTTCAGAGAATCTCACACTTTTCCCTTTTAAAACACATGGTGTTCTTTTTTAATAACAGCAGCGGCTCCAGATTGGGAAAGGGAAAAGAAAAAAACTTGTAAAGGCCCAGCTCCGCAGGAAAGGAGGGGGAGCTGGCCGCAAAGGGGGGCAGAGCCCAGCCGAGGGATTTGCTCGGGGGCGTCTTCAAGGAGCCCCTCAAGACCCGGCCAAGCCCCCATCCCAGATCAGTGGCTTGTCCCCCGCTGCTTGTCTCCTGCCTGGTTTGGGATGTGTGCGTCCCAGTCCCCAATGTCTGGTCCATTGTTCACCAGGGCCTCGGAGTTCGAAGCCAGTGGGGGACCCGAGCTGGGCAGGACAGTGGTCCTGGGGGTCCCCAGGTGCTGTAGGCTGCGGGCCGACCCTCTAGCAGGCACCATGTGCTCTTCCTCCCGTTCTGGGGAAGAGAAAACCGAGAACTCAGACTGGAAAGCCAGGCGCTCTCCCTAAAGTGGCACCCATGTCCCCAGAGAAGAAAGCACCCCCTGACCTTCCTGCTAGGCAGAGAGGGACTGGGGACTGGCCTGTCCAGCCCGCCCGGGCTTGGCCCCCTATCCCAGGCCCTGGACAGCAGCTGCAGCTGCTGCAGACTGGCGAGCCAGGCGGGTGTGGCAGAAGGGCAGTGCCCCCCAGCCAGGACCCCCCAGAGAGCCCCTTCGGGCCAGATTGAGGGGGGCAGGAGGGGCGTGACCCACCCGGGAGGGCTGAGAGTGGCCCTAGGGTCGGGGCTGGCCGTGCCTCCCACCCTGCTGGGGGGCCCAGGCAGGAAGCGGTGGGTGGGCCGTGGCAGAGATGCTGGCACACCCGAGTTCATGCCGGAGGAATTCCGAATTAGCTGTCGGCTGGCTGCCTGGGACCTCCGGGGCGGCCCCCTGGCCCCCCGCCCCCCGCCCTGGCTGCCCTGCCTCCTCGGCGCTGGCCTGCACCACCGGCTTCTTCACACGGATGCCGAGACCTCCGGCAAGCCCTGGGCCAAGCCCCAAACGTAACTGCGATCCCAGCCACACTCGAGCCAAGTTTGCCCCGGAAAATTGTCAGGGCCGGCCCAGGTCAGAGCCCTTCCCACCTCGGCCATCTGGGGCAGTGAGGGGCAGTACCCAGTGGCTGCTGGATCCCTGTCCCTGCCCCTGTAGGCCCTTCTCAGAGCTGCCTGGGGAATTCTTTTAAATGCAGATCTAACCAGGACCTTCCCTGCTGCGAACTGGAAAAACTACTCCCTCTTCCATGCAGGTTGGGGTCCCTGCTGAGCCCCCAAACCTCATTTCCTACACGCCTGCCCCAGAACCTTTACACTTATAGCTCCTGCTACCTGGACTGTCTCCCTAGATATTTTCATAGCTACATCTCTTACTTATTCGGGTGTCAGCTCAAATGTCACCTCCCAGCCTAGCTGAGCTGCTTCCCTTTGGCCAATGCTTAATTTGGTCCCTTTTCTCTATTTCTTTTTCCTTTCTGTGTCCTTTGAAGGACTTCTCTATGTCTTGGTCATCATGGTAATCTGTGAATAAATGAGTGAATGATTTTCACAACCTCTTCTGGTGAAGGGAGAAGCTCCTCCTCAGAGGCACAGAGAAAGAAAGCTGCTACATCAGGCTTCCTCAGCCAGCTGGGGGATTCGAACCCGGGTCGGCCAGATTTAAATGTTGCAGGGAGTGGCCTCTGACAGTAGCCCCTCAAACAGCCCCTGTTGCTGCTACCAGGATGCTCACTTCCCAAATGGCAAAACAGACGCAGTGACATCAGAGGCCTGAGAATGCACGTTTCCCTCCACCCTGGGCCTCAGTTTCCCCCTGGGTAAAACAGACCCCTCTTAGGTCCTAATCTCCCTGATAGCTGGCAGAAGAGGAGGCCCTGGCATTCCTGGGACTCCTGTGCCCAGCACCAACTCACATAAGTCCCCCTTAGAAAGTCCCTTTCCAGTGACTGCCACGGTGGCCCCAACAAAGGACAGAGAGCTCCTTCTTTCCACGTTAAATGTTAGGAAAACAGGGTCGAGGAAACAAAGGACATGAACTCCCTTTGCGTGGGAGTGGGGGGCTACAGCTTGTCACAGCCACCTCTGGGCCCAGGGCTGTGCAGGACAGAATATTAGGGACCAGCAAATCTGGGCTTCAGTCGTTGAGAAGCAGGGGAGGAAAACCTGAACTTTGAAAGGTTTGGCTTTTTCTTCCACAGGATGGGCAGGATTTGGGGAGGAAAGGCAGGCAGCCTTAATTGTCTGTCCAGCAGGCCAGGGCTCTTCCCCCGTAGAAGCACCACTGTGTGAGGCTCTGGAATAGCAACGGAAGAACCACAAGTGTTTGCTTCTGGTGGTCCAGAGGAGTGACCTCTGGAGGCCCTGGGCGTGGTGGGGGCTCAGAGAGGCCCCGCCCCAGGCATGACAGGCTGTCTTCTTTGACCCAGACACGGCCGTGATCAGCCCCCAGGACCCCACACTCCTCATCGGGTCCTCTCTGCAAGCCACGTGCTCCGTGCACGGGGACCCACCCGGTGCCACCGCCGAGGGTCTCTACTGGACCCTCAATGGGCGCCGCCTGCCCTCTGAGCACTCCCGTATGCTGAATGCCTCCACCCTAGCCCTGGTCTTGGCCAACCTCAACGGGTCCAGGCAGCAGTCCGGGGACAACCTCGTGTGCCATGCCCGCGACGGCAGCATCCTGGCTGGCTCCTGCCTCTATGTCGGCTGTAAGTGGCCCCAGGACCCCCAGAGGTCCATGCAGGCAGCAGCATCCACCTGGACAGAGAGGGCCGGGTATCACGGGCACTGGGACCTGGGGCTGAGCTGGGGGCAAGTTCCAGGGTAGGGGTCTCTTGGGGGGCAATGAGCGGGGGAGACCCCGCCCATCCTCAACAGGACAGCCCGGGAGCTGGGGGTGGCTTGGGAAAACTCTGCCTAGCAATCATGAGGCTGATGGTTCCATCCCTGCATGCATGGGGGCCCCTGCAGTGTGGCCAGGCCAGCAGCCATCTACATCTTTGGGGATGGGGTGTGGGGGGGTTCAGACTGCCCTATTCACCCTCCTCTGCCCTCCTTCCCCTAGTGCCGCCCGAGAAGCCCTTCAACATCAGCTGCTGGTCCAAGAACATGAAGGACCTCACGTGCCGCTGGACGCCGGGGGCCCACGGGGAGACCTTCCTGCATACTAACTACTCTCTCAAGTACAAGCTCAGGTCAGTGCTGTCCCCTCCACCCCCCAGCTTGGCTGTGTGACCTTGGGCCAACGCCGGCCTTCTTGGAGCCCCTGTGTTCCTGTCTGCATCCTCAGGCCACCACGGCGAGGCCTGTGGACCAGGAGGGACCTTCCCATGTCTGTCCTGGGCCCCTCTGCCCCACAGGTGGTATGGGCAGGACAACACATGTGAGGAGTACCACACTGTGGGGCCACACTCCTGCCACATCCCCAAGGACCTGGCCCTCTTCACGCCCTATGAGATCTGGGTGGAGGCCACCAACCGCCTGGGCTCGGCCCGCTCTGATGTGCTCACGCTGGACATCCTGGACGTGGGTGAGCCCCAGCCTGCTGCCCCCTCAGGCCGCTCTGCTAGACTTCCCTGAGGTCCCCCAGCTGCGGCTCGGACTCCACCTCTGTCCCTGCTGTGGGGGACATCTGGGCACCCACCCCCCAATCCCAAGGCCCAAAACAGCCCGGATAGCCCCACTCCGCAAACACCTGGTCTGGTGCCTCCCCCGCCACAGCCCAGGTGTGCACCAGGGGGCCCAGGGAAACGAGAGGGGGCGCCCAGGTCGGGAGGCGCCCCAGGAAGCCGAGGCCTGGAGCTGGGGGGTGAGGGCGGGAGGCAGGAAGTGGATGCTCTATGAGCAGAATTGGGCCTAATCTAATTAGGGTGTTTCTCAGCCCCAAGCAGGCCTGTGCCTTAACCCTTTCAGCCCCTCAGCAATGCCTGTGGGGAGAGCCCAGCCCTCCCAAGGCCCACAGGAGGATCCCCAGCAGCCTCTGGCTTGGACCCCGAGGCCAGGCCGCTCCCCTAGTGTTGCATCCCGAGGCTGCAGTGCAAAAGTTCTGAGCCTCTGTTGCATGGCCGAGCCGAGAAGCCGGCACTCGGCAGGCTTTGGTACACTGAAGGAAGAGGTGAGGGCTTCCCAGGGGCTGGTGGCCTGACAGCCCTGTATGAAAACAGTATTGTTAGCCGAGCAGGGTTCACTTTCGTTTGTTTCTGCAGAGCTGGGCCTGACCCCCAGGCCTTGCACTCGCTAGACAAGTGCTGCCCCCAGACCGCAGCTTCCGCTTTCTCCAGCCCAGGGGAGATAGGATTATATTTCTCCCATCACAGATAATATGGGTGATAACAGCTAACGTTAATTGAGTGCTGCTAGACGCTGAGTGTTTCTGGAATATTATATCATGGAATCCACCAGGCTGAGCTCAGGGAGGAGAGGGAAACGGAGGCAGGGCCACCTCAGCCACGTGACCTGGACTCCGCTGCTGGGGGATCTGAACCCAAACAATCCCAGAGTGTCATCCGCTCCCAAGACGAAGGTCCCAGGTGACCAGGCTCTGGTCCGCCCCACAGTGACCACGGACCCCCCACCCGATGTCCACGTGAGCCGCGTCGGAGGCCTGGAGGACCAGCTGAGTGTGCGCTGGGTTTCGCCACCGGCTCTCAAGGATTTCCTCTTCCAAGCCAAGTACCAAATCCGCTACCGCGTGGAGGACAGCGTGGACTGGAAGGTGCCAGCCCCACCCCTCGGACTACGCCCTCCGTCTCCCCCGCCCCTCCACCTGACCACGCCCGCTGCCTGGCCCCGCCCTCACTGTCCAGGTGGTGGATGACGTCAGCAACCAGACCTCCTGCCGCCTGGCTGGCCTGAAGCCCGGCACTGTCTACTTCGTACAAGTGCGTTGCAACCCCTTTGGTATCTACGGGTCCAAGAAAGCTGGAATCTGGAGTGAGTGGAGCCACCCTACTGCCGCCTCCACACCCCGCAGTGGTGAGCACCCTAACAGGCCTGGGGTGGGGGGTCCGCCACCCAGCTTCAACCAGCCTGAGTCTGCCTCCTTGTTTCTCCAAGAGAGCAGAAGTCTCAAACAGGTGACCTCCAGGGTCTAGTGCGACCCCGGATGGATTCTGACTGTCTTGAGAGGAAAAAAGTTTGACCTACTTGCAGAGATTCAAAAACTGGAAGTGCCTGGCATGGTGGCACACGCCTGTCAGCCCAGCACTTGGGAAGCTGAGGCAGGAGGATCACTGAGAATTCAAGGCCAGTCTGAGCTACATAGTGAGACCCTGTTTCAAAAAACAAAAAAAAACAACAAAAACCCCAAAAAACAAAAAAGTGGGCTGGGCATTTAGCTCAGTGGTTCCGCCGCCTGCCTCGAGCAAGGACCCAAGTTCGATCCCCGGTACCAAAACAAAAACAGAAAGTTTGTACACAAACATCTTAGATTTCCCCGAAAAATAAGTTCTTCAGGAAATGGGACAAAACAGCCCTCGTCGCTGTATGGCCCCAGTGGTGGCCCCCCCATGGGACCCTCCCTCACCATTGGCCCCACTGCCACCTGGGCCACCCATCCCCTGCACCCATCTTCGGCCCGAGAGCAGGTGAGGACAGCCTCTAAGGCTGCTGGGCTTCAGTGACCCCTTCTGACCGAGGTGGGGCATGGGCGGAATTAGGGGACTGGGTTGGACTTGGCTGTGCTCTGGGGTTTCTCTAAATCCCTGCATTCGCTATGCTCTCTCTTGTGAAATGGGATGCAGTCTGTTACTTGGAATGCGTGGCGTCAGTTTCCCCATCTGCCAAGTGGGCACGAGGGTCACACCTGGCTCCGGTGGTTGTGAGAGTTAGGCAGGGCTCCCCAGCCTCTCTCATGACTTCACCCCGAGGGAGGCCCGCTTTTCCCAGGCAGTGGCCCTGAGGTCCCAGTTCACTGACAGTCCAGGCCCACGCTGGCAGGAAGTGGGGAAACTGAGGCCCGAAAGAGTCCCAGAGCCAGGAAAGGGCAGAATCAGGCTCCAGCCAGCTCCCCAGCCCCCATCGGGGCCCCTGCAGGTTCTGGGGTGGGCGGGAGCAAGCGGCGGGAGGGGCCTGAGCCTTGGCCCCCGCTCGTGCCCAGCACCTGCGATTCTTGCGCGGGAGCCAGGACGCGGCGCGGCCGCTGGGGAGGCTGGGGAGGCCTACGGGGGCGGTGAGGGCCGGGGCCGTGCCAGGGCCTGTCAGCGGGTCCCCAGCTTTATTTATGACGTGAGGCCGATGTCCTTATCCGCCGGCCTGCTTGGGGCTGGCTGCGGCCGGCGCTGGGGAGACAGGCGGCCGCCCACCTGGCCGCGGCCACTCCCGGCCCTGGCTCCGGCTCCCGCGCATCCCGGGGACCGCCCTGCGGGACGCCTCGCGCGCCGCCTCCCTCCCTCTCTGCCACTCCTCCCCTGGGTCGCACTTCCTCCTTCCTTCCTTTCTTCTTTCCTTCCTTTTCCAGCGCTGTGGATGGAACTCGGGACCTCACGCACTTTCTTTCCTGCTCTTTGTTCCTGTGGCCCCGGGGCCTCTGTCCCCGCCTCACCCCACCCTGCCCGTCCTCACGGTGCCGTCCCCCTGCCCTGCCCGTCAGCCTTGGCGGCTGTGTCGCCTGGATTTGCCCCTTTTTCTTTTCGGCCGCCTGTCTGTCCTGTCCCTCAGGAGCGGCCCCCCCTCACCTGGCTCAGGCCTCGGGAATCGGGTTCCTGGAGGCGCTGTGGGGAGGAGCCCGTTCCTCCCGCTCCTCCCCAGGGCGTAGCTGGGCCGAGCGCAGACAGACGCGGTCCCGGGACGCAGGCGGCGGCGTGGGTCCTAGGGGCGCGGGTCCCTCCGCGCCTGTCCGGCCGCGCCCCCTGCCGGCCGCACCCGACACTGCGCTCCGCCCTTAGAGCGCCCGGGCCCGGGCGGCGGGGCTTGCGAGCCGCGGGGAGGAGAGCCGAGCTCGGGCCCGGTGCGGCGCGAGCTCAAGCAGTTCCTGGGCTGGCTCAAGAAACACGCGTATTGCTCCAACCTCAGCTTCCGCCTCTATGACCAGTGGCGGGCCTGGATGCAGAAGTCGCACAAGACTCGAAACCAGGTAGGGGGGCCGGGCCCGCGGGTGTGGGGACACGCGGGGGACAGAGGGGACGCAGACCTGCAGCCCCACGACACTGCTGCCTTCTTTCCAAGCACAGGACGAGGGGATCCTGCCCTCGGGCAGACGGGGTGCGGCGAGAGGTAAGGGGGGCCCGGGTGGGAGGGTAATGGCAGGAAGGGACCTTCTGGTGGCTGCAGACTGCCTCTGGATCCGCAGTATTTGCTCAGCATCTACTGTGTGCCCAGCGCGCAGCTCGTAGCCTAGTTAGGAGCCTCCAGCTCCATAATCTCGTCCTCTTTGCAAGTCTAAGGACCTGCTGCATGCTGGCCCTGGGTCCAGGGCTTTACCTGCAGGGGACCCAGGAATGACGCAAAAGTCTCCCTTCTCAAAAGGGGAAACCAAGGCCCAGAGAGGGGGGCAGTGTTCACACCAAGGCTACACAGCTGTAAGCAGCAAAGGACAGTACCCCAACGCCGACCTCTCCCAGGCTTGCTGCTCAGCCTGGGTTCCCTTGTGCCCACAGGTCCTGCCAGATAAGCTGTAGTGATGGGGCCACCCTCCCTGCCATGGGGAGACCCAGAGACCAAGCCGAACTGTACCCTCAGCTCAGGGCATCCAAGCACCATCTGCAGATGGACAGGAGCTCTGAGCTCCAGTGGCCGCCACAGCCCCACCCCTGGGTGCACCCCAGTGCACGTGGGTGGGCTGAGCTGTCCAGAGCCCATGCCGGGGCTTGGGGTGAAGGGCCATTGCTCACGCAGCCTGGGCCTCTCAAGAATCTTTTTAAATAAATGAGCTATTTAGGTGCTCTGATTGTGGAGGTGTCTGGAGCCCGGGGTGGGGCTGTAGGGTTTGGGGGACATGGGGAGCATCAAGTGATGCTTTGGGATGAGAACCCCTACCTCCCAGGCTTTCTCTGCAAGTCCTGCAGAGTCTGCTCCCTTAACTCTTGGGGGTGGGGGAGGTGACAACTGTGAGCCAGAACTCAGGAGTTTCCAGGGTGCAGGGCCCTCCAGCTCCCCCTGGCCCTGGGGCCCTTCCCAGACACAAGGCCTGGCCTCAGGACAGAGATGCAGAGCAGCTGCAGGCACAGGGTTCTTTATTATAGGTGGTGTCACCGTGAAGGAGTCCTGGTCCCAGGGGCCATGACCTCGGCCAGCTGGCGGTCAGGGCTGGGCTGGATGCCCCCAGTCTCATTTCCCAGCTCTCTCAGGGTGTCCCTGGGGAGCCGCCATCACTCTGCAGATTCTGCATCAAACCTAAGGTCCTGGAGAACCTCGCTGATCGCCTCCATGGTTTTAATTACCCTAGGAGAGCGGATGGGAACTATAAATAAAACCCAGATGGGGCGAATTAGCCGCCCCTGCAGTTAGCTCCGAGGGGGCTGTGCCAAGCCCCAGGCCCTCCTACCCATCCACTGCCACAGCCCCGGGCAGTGCTGGGTTCCGTGCTCTGTGGTCAGAGTTTGGGGATGGAAGAGGCCATCTTGGCCAGTGTGCAGGCCATGGGAGGTTAAGAGTGCCAGCTTGGCAGGTCCCGACTCCTAGCTCCGAGTCCAACCATATGTGCAGGACCGGCACGGGCCAAGGGGGACAGCTGTGTCCCAGCAATGCACTTTTGAGTTTCTGCGGGGAAGTTTCAGAAATGTGTGCATCTAGGGACACCAGGCAAGGACTCCAGGTGCTGCCCCCTGAAGCCTGCGTGCACGTATGACTAGGCCCAGGCAAACCCAGGCAGGCCAGCCTGAGGGGCGCCGGCGCTCACTTCAGCTTCAGCTGGTGCATCCGTGCGGCGTCCGCGTGTCCCGCCAGCTCTGGCGATGCCATCAGCTGCAACATGGCCACCTGGTGGGGGGATGGGCAGCGGGGAGGACGTCACAGCAGGCAGAAGCCCCTCCTGGCCTCCCCCGCTGTTCCAGAGACTGAGGAGTTCAGAAAGGGAGGGCTCCTCAGGGAAAGGGAAAGGGGGCGGGGCAGGGTCCGCGCGGGGCGCGCTGTGGGTGTGGCCTTGTGTGCTTGTGGCCTAGGGAAACCTAGGGAATTTCAACCAGATTGGCGGCCAGAATGGAGTGGTTGGAGCCCTTATGGTCCCAAGTAGGAACAAGACACTATGGATCCAGGTGGAGGCAGGTCGCAGATTCTTCCTGGGATTCGGTTCAGGCGGGGGAGGACTAAGCCAACCGCAATGTGGGTGCGGCTTCACATTGCCCAGCCCCGCGGGTTGGCTGAGGGGCAGAGCGGGCGGGGCTTGCAGCTAGGATGTGACTCAACTGTGGATACTCAGGAGGGGAGGTGGCCCGAGAATCCTCTTATTGGCAGGTTGAAAGTGGGACCAAAAAACTGGTAAAGTCGAAAAGGTGGCGGGCCAGGGATTTAGCTCAGTGGTTCCGCCGCCTGCCTCGCAAGCACAAGGATCCGAGTTCAATCCCCGGTACCAAAAAAAGAGAAAGGGTGGAGCCTTGGGAAGGGATCCAAGTTTCCGGGAATCCCCTTGGGTTGGGCTGGGATGAGGTGGGCGTGTCCTGAGCTAAGAACAAAATTTAGAAAAATTGGGGGGGGAGCAGCCAAGCGTGGTAGCACACGCCTGAAATTTTGGCATTCTGGGGGGCTGAGGCAGGAGGGTCACAGGTTCAAGACAAGCCAGAGCAATTGAGTGATTTGATGAGACCCTGTCTCAGAGTAAGATGGGCTGAGGGGGCCGGGGATTTAGCTCAGTGGTTCTGCCGCCTGCCTCTCAAATGCAAGGTGCCAAGTTCGATCCCCGGTACCAAAAAAAAGAATGAAATTAAAATGAAAAAGCATAAGTACAACATATGTTTGGCCGGGGATTTAGCTCAGTGGTTCTGGCGCCTGCCTCGCAAGCACAAGGTCATTGAGTTCAATCCCCGGTACCAAAAAAATAAAAAAATAAAGAAGGGCTGAAGATGTAGCTCAGTGTTAAGGGCCTAGTTTCAATCCCCAGTATTACCAAAAAAAGAAAAGAGGGGTAGGTTAGGAAGCAAAGCTCGAGAGCGCCCAAGGGAAGACTGAGGGGTGGGAGGCCGGGCCGGGCCAGGCTTGCTCACCGTGGTCAGGCGCGTCTGCTCTAGCTGCTGCAGGCTGCGGATGTGACCGGCGAGCAGCGGCTGCGCGCGCGGCCCGGCCAACTCTGCTTCCAGAGCCAGCGCCTCGCGCGAGGCGGAGGAGAAGGCCTGAGTCACCTCGTGCACGACGCTCCGGTAGCTCGGGAAGTCGTGGTGCGGGCCGCTCTGCAGATACCGGCGGTGGGCTCTGCGGCGGGCGGAGGTCCTGCTATCGCACCCCCGCAGACCGGCGACACCGGGCGGGCCCGCCCCGCGCCCCGCGCCCCGCGCCCCGCGCCCCGCGCCCCGCTGCACTCACGTCTCCAACTGGCCGAAGGCCCGCGCGCGCTCAGCCTGCAGCTGCTCGATGCGCTGCACCAGCGTCCGCACCGGGGCGTCTTTCTGTGGATCGGGAGGCACGGCTGGGGAATGAGGCCGGCGCCCCCGGACCTGCGCCTCCTGCCCCGTGCCAGTCCCCGCCCGAGCCCGGGCTCACCCAGGGCCACCCCAGCTCCTGGAGCCCCGGGGCTCCGGGGGCATCTGCAGTGTCGCGCTCCGCGGCGACGGGGCAGTCTCCCGCGGCCCCAGCGGTGATCATGACTGCTCAGACTGGGCCTCGCGGGGAACGCGTCGCCCGCTGCGCCCAGCGCCCCCTGTAGGCCGGGAGGTCCCCGCGCCGCCCGCCACTGAGGCCGGGACGTCCACACGCTCTGCCTGGCCGGCCCCCTCCTCCTCCACCTTGCGCCGCTCTTGTCGCTAAAAATGGGAGTTAATAGCTACCTGGGCTTATCTCCAGGATGCGCATCTGGTCCTCACTACTGTACCCCATCCAAATGAAATGGGAGCGAGGTTTGAAACGCGCCCTTAGGGCCTGCTGGATGTGACAGAATGGAGCCCAGGTGGGTGTTGAGGAGCAGCACCTCACACCTGCTGAAGCGCGTGCCCTGGGCCAAGGCCCCAAGGTAGGACCAGGGCAGGATCCAGCCAGGCGAGCCCACCGGTCTGAGGCGACTTGGAGTGGTCAGCGAGGCGTGCACAGGGCCTGCATAGTGCTTGGACAGCTGAAGAGCAGGAGGTGGTGATGGCCTAGCTCCGGGGGTCCAGCAACAAGACTGCAGCCTGGCAGCGGGGTCCTGGGACAGAAGCAGACTGCCTTCCCACCAGCCCTTTGTGTGCACCGAATTTAAGGTTTAGCCCAGCATGGGAGTGCACACCTGTAAGCCCAGTGGCAGCAGGCATGTGAATCCAGGACAGCCTGGGAAACCTAGGCAGACCCTCACCCAGAAAACCCTTAAGGTAGGCTGGGTGCAGTTGTGGCACAGTGCTTGCCAGCACAGGGGACCCTGGGTTCCACCCCAGCACCAGAATAGAATCGAACCCTTATAGTTGACATCTCTGGTTCTACGTGCAAATCAGGGTCCAGATAGAGCAGCAGTTCCAGCCCTGGGTGGACATTTTTCACTCCCCACATCCAGACCCCTCAGTGCCCAGGCTTTGGGGCACCTCCGAGGCCAACGGGACCCTAGCCAGTGCCACAGCTGAGCCTCGGTCCCAGCAAACCTTCAGCTCCTGGCTCCAGGCAGACCCCAGGCCTAGGAGTTAGGCCTCCTGTGCTTGGCTGTAACAAAAATGTGCAGGGCGGGGACCACCATCTCTTACAAGATCCAGAATGACAGGGACCCCAAAGATGACAGTGGAGGGCTGAGAAGGGTCCCAAAGATGGCCATCCTGCAGCCAACCCCTGGACAAAACAGCCACGTGGACACCAATTGCTGCTCCAGTCAAGTGTGGAGGGAAACTTTATTCGGGCTCCAAGGCCAGTGCACTTGGGCAGGTGGTACCCTTCCGGAGGGGCTGGCGGAGAGCTTTACTTGACCTTCTTCTTGGGGCGCAGGTTGTTGGTGTGGCCACACTTCTTCTTTCGGCAGTTGACGGCACGGGGGTGCAGGCGGGCATAACACCTAGCAGGGATGGGCACAGCTGGGGAGGACACCCCAACGCCATCCCCAACGCCCCCGACCTGGTGCCCATCCCCACCCCAGCACATACTTGCGGCAGATCATCTTGTCACAGTTGTACTTCTGGGCAAGTTGGCGCAGGGACGGCTCAATGATCCCACCTCGCAGGCGAAGCACCAGGTGCAGGGTAGACTCTAGAGGGTTGGCCGAGGGGTGGCGCCTCAGACCCAGCACCACAGGCCCAAGGCACAGCCCACAGCCTGATGGGGACCCCGAGACAGGACCCCACAGTGATGCCCACCAACAGATTTCCCTGACTTTCCCATAATTACATTTTTGTGTGTTTTTTTTCCCCTGGAGCTGGGGATGGAACAACTGACTCACTGAGCCACACCCCCAAAGCCCATCACCTTTTTATGCAGAACTCGATGTGATGTGTTCATGCCAGTCATTTAATAACAAACAAAATGAAGAGAAAACCAGTGCTGTCTTGGAAACAGTGATATCAGATGTCTTCAAGTGACAAAGCAAAATACCCTGCCCTTTTTTCTCATCTTTTTTGTTTTGAGGTGCTGGGGAAGGAACCTACAGCCCACACCCCAACCCAGCTTGATACTCATCATAGGAATGACCACCCTGGTGGCCCCAAGGAGCCTGGCAGAATGCCAACCAGGGCCAGGGTGCAGAGGCCCTGTCTTGAGAACCCAGATGGGCACCTTTCTGGATGTTGTAGTCAGAGAGAGTTCGGCCATCCTCCAGCTGTTTGCCGGCAAATATCAGACGCTGCTGGTCAGGGGGGATGCCTGGAGTGGGGACATGACAGAGCTCAGTTACTGTGGCTGCCAATAGCTCCACAGCTCCTTCCTGCAGGGGTGCCCCAGCAGTGCCTCTGACCCCAAAGGAGACAGGCAGATGTCTAGCCCTCCTCCAAAGTCACAATGAGAACACACTGGCAAAGCAGAGTTCTGCAGCCAGTCCCCGCCCTACACAGGACACGGGCTCCTGGGGCTGAGAACAGCAAATCACAGTAGGGATGGAGCCCTGACCTAACCCAACTCACCCTCCTTGTCTTGGATTTTGGCTTTGACATTCTCGATGGTGTCACTGGGCTCCACCTCGAGGGTGATGGTCTTGCCTGTCAGGGTCTTCACGAAGATCTGCATCTCTGCGTCTGCTGGCAGGTGGGAGAGAGCCATGTGTGTGGCAGCTCTGCCAGGCACCAGCTTGGAGGCTGCCAGCCCTTGGCCCCATGCTAGCCTCCTGTGGCCATGCCACACTGACGTCAGGTGGTTTGTAGGCTGTCCCTTCCTTCTACCCCTCAGAGCCTCCCACACTCTGGTGCGCAACCTAAGCTCACACTTCCTCTTCCCAACTCCTGGATGCTGTTGCGTTTTATTTTCAAGTGCTGGATACAGAAGCCAGGGCCTATAAACAAGTGCTCTGCTCCTGAACTACATTCCAAGTCCCTTTGCAGGTGGGGGCTGAACGGGAGGATCCCAAGTCTGAGGTCATCAGGGCAATTTAGCAAAACCATATCCTCAAAATTTGGAAATAAAGAAAAAGGGCAGGAGGTATACCTCAGTGATAGAGCCCTTTGAATCCAATTCCCAGTGTGGCATGTTTCTGATGGAATGAAAGCGCATCACACAAATCTTCCCAGAGGGTGGCCCCATCTATACAGGCTCTGCAAGGTGCTGCTTACCTCACCACCTGCCCTTTAAAAGCATCTGCCTGCATGGGGATCCAGCCTCCTGCAACACACACCCCTCTCTTTTCCTAACTCCAGGCTGGAACACCCAACACTCTTGGCTTTCTTTTTAGTTATGCACCAACCCACAAGATCTCATTTTTTGCCTCTGGCCCAACCCGTAAACAGTGGCCAGGATTAGGGGTGAAGCTGAGCGGAAAAGCACTTGCCCAGCAGACAAGAGAGCACCGGTTCCATATCCAGCACGGTCAAAACCAAACGAACATGGGGCCGGGGATTTAGCTCAGTGGTTTCGCCGCCTGCTGCGCAAGCCCAAGGACCCGAGTTCGATCCCCGGTACCAAAAAAAAAAAAAAAAACCAAACCCAAACGAACATAGAAACGTGGCTGCCCCTTATTGCCTGCCAACCACGTGCCAGGTACTTGTTTAAAAATAGCACATAAAGAGAAGGAAAAAAGGAAGGGGAAGCCTAGAAAGTGGACGCCACCGCCCCGCACTTGGGTGAGGTAAGGGGATCAAATTCAAGGCCAACCTGGCTATTTAACGAGTTGAATGCCGGCCTAAACTATGTGGCCAAATCCTGCCTAACAAACACGGAAAAAAACCCAAACAAATCCGAGAGAGACATCCAAATTAAGGAATTTGGCTCGGCTCGCCCACGAAGGCCCACTGCAGCCCCAAGGCCTCATGGGGTGGCGCGGGCCTCGGAAACGGGGGGCCGCCACCCTGTCGAGACTGGCTCTTCCTGGAGAACTCAGGTCCCCCCTCTCCGCCTCCCAGGACCGCAAACCCCCAGCAGCCCCTGACCAGATGCGAACCAGACGGACCACCGCCACCTACCCGCTCGGCCGCCTCCCTGAAGAGAAAGAGGGCGACGGAACCGGAAACCGCCAGTTCACCGCCAAGAGCGCCTGCGCACCGAGCACGCCGCGCGCTGCGTCACAATCCGCGCCTGGCAGCAGGGCCCGCCCCCAGGCCCCGCCCCCCGTGCCGTCATGTTGGATGTTGGCAAAGGAAGCTTCCCGTCGTGTGGGCGAGCACGCAAAACCGCTTCCGGGCCCAGGTGCCTCCCTCTGGGCCACGTGACAAGCCCGAGCCTGTCAGGCGGTCTCCCTGGCAGTTGCGGACTTGTAGCCAAAGTTTTGAGAATACTTAAACAGAGTAGGGGAATTTTTTCTGCTAATCAAAGGTATGGTGCAGAGGGTCGAGACGCAGAGGTCGGATCTAGATGGTGAAGGGCTCAGGGAATGCCGAAGACTCCTGGGAACCGCGGCTGCGGGAGAGTGAGGATTCTTGCTTCTGAGCCTCGCAGTGTTTCCTTCTACATTCCCCTGTGCTACTATGTATGAGGCAAAGGCAGGCACTCCTTCGAGTCTGGGAAGATGCCTGTAGGTTTTGTTTTTTCGGGACCGGGGATCACACTCAGTACCTAGAGCTTGCAAGGCAGGCGCGGCGCCACTGAGCTAAATCCCTGGGTCGCTAGGTTTTTGTTTTGAGACAGGGTTTCAAACTGTAGTTCCAGCCAGCAAGGAACTTAGATCCTTCTACCTCAGCCTCTTGCCTGCGGAATACAGGCCTGCACTACCATGCTCGACACTTGTCTCAAACTTCTGGGCTTACGTGATTCTCCTGCGTCAGCCTCCCTAGTAGAGTGGTGGGACTACAGACACGTGCCATCCCACTGGCGAGATGCCAACAGCGTAATTCCTGAGTGCTCTGGAGTACTGAGTAGGGGGCAACCCTCTCTGGATCCTCAGTTGTTCACCCTGAGGCCGAGATGGACTCGGTGGGGATGAGAGCTGGCTTCTTACGGTTGTCACCTGGGGACCCATCAAGAGCAGTCCCAACTTGTGTGCACCCCGTCCTGCAGGGCCCCACCCCACACCTCCACTGCCCATCGGTAGACCCAAGGCGGGAAGGAAGATAAGGCTGGCATACGTTCTCCTTAGTAACAGAGTCTTTTATTGGTAACTTCCCAACAGTATCTGTAAACATCGGGTACAAAAATATTCCGTTAAACTGTTTTCCTTGGTGGCTGAGGCGACCCTGGTGATGCCTGCTGGGTCACAGGGTCCACACTTCTTGTCAGAGACAGGCCTGGCGAGGCCAAGGGCCGAGCAGCAGGCTCTGTCTCTAGCCTTGTGCCAGCTCAGGCCTCTTAACCCAGCCGCTGGAGAAAGGATTCCGAACTCCTGGCAGAAGCAGGAGCAGGGAAACTGGATTAGGGTGCAGGGATGGGCGGGGCAAACTCAGGTGTGATGCTGCATGTCCACTTCCAGGGTGTCCTGATCAAGATGGGGGCATCTGGCTCTGGTCTCTGGGGACATTTTAAGTACCGTTCAGAGCACACTGGGGCCCAGCTCTGGGGACTGTTTCTGTCGCCAGCCCCGTGACAGCACCGGGCCTGGGTGTTCCCTGGCGTGGCCCTGGCGTAGCAGAGGGTCCTTCGGAAGTGCAGTGGTCTGAGGGAGAAGAGCGGGAACTAGCAACCCTCAGGACTGCACCCCTGGGGGAGCCTGGGAGCCTAGAGCCTGCTACTCTCCTGGCGTCTCCTCGTTGTCTGTCTGGCTGTGGCAGTTGACGATGGGGGAGCCGGGCTGGATGTGGGACAGGTCCTCGAAGCCGGGGCTGAGGGAGGGCGAGACGGTGTCTGGGCTGGTGTCACAGGAGCCCGTGCTCTGCTCCGAGGTGGCAATGGTGGTGGTGACACTGGGCGGGATAGGGTCTTCATCTTCGTCCTCCAGGAACGACACCTCGGGGATGTCTGGGGGGACCAGCAGGTTGGGTCGGGGCCTTGCTCAGGTGCAGGGGACCTGGCGGCCCCCCCCAGCCCACACGGAGGCCTGGCCTGGCCCACTGGACAAAGGAGCAGACTGAGCCGCGGGCAGTGATGTCACAGAAGGATGGGCTGAGGGCAGGACAGCGACCCCGGCTGTGTCACCTCCCGGCTGCCTGTGCCGGTGGCCCAAGGTGGCAGTGGGTGACAGCCTGGCCCAAAGGGCTCTGAGGTGCACACTGGGCAGGGACAGTCCGAGCCCCAGCCACTTCCATGGCCTTGCAGAACTGCAGGAGACCCCCGGGGGGCCCAGCCCTGGGCGGGGGGCACAGTGGCCCTGGGGACACTTACGGCTGAAAGCCTCTGGGTGCTGCCTGGCCAGCTTCCCTTTCAGTGTCCTGTGGGGACAGAAGGGACGGGCTGATCCTGCTGGGCCAGGGCTGGCCGGTGGCGAGGATGTCCCCTGCCATTTACCACATCCTGTCTCTCTGTCCCTGTCTCCATCAGGAGCCCCAGCATGAAGCCCGGCAGCCACGGCCCTGGCAGCCCCGGGCAGACCTCACCCCGGGTGGGCACCAACCACGTGGCTGTCCTGTCGCCGAGGCTGGGGTGGAGCCAGGCACTGGTCTCTCCTGACAATGGCCTGTGCCCTGCTTCCTCTACTCTTTGGGCCCCCATCCCGCACTGGGGGCTGAACCCAGGGCCTGTGCACTGAGCTGCATCCCCAGCCCTCCTGTCTCGCTAAGTCCCCCAGGCTGGGCTCTAACTCTCGACCCTCCTGCCTCAGCCTCCTGAGTGCTGGGATCACAGGCACGCACCACTGCACTGGGCTTGCTTTGCTCCTGATAAAAGACCTGAGTGGGGCGAAGCAGGTGGGAGTGGGAGGATCACTGTACTTCTCCTGGCCTCTCTGCCGCCACTAATGCAGTGTTACAGTTCCAAAAAATAAATAAAATTGGGCCGGGGATTTAGCTCAATGGTTTCGACACCTGCTGTGCAAGCTCAAGAACCCGAGTTCAATCCCCGGTACCAAAAAAAATAAATAAAGTTAAATAAATAAATAGATAAATAAATAAAATTTAAATTCAAAACCGTGAGCTTTTCCCTCCAGAATGCGGGTCTTCTCAGAACAGTGGTGCCTCACTGGGCCACGCAAGCACAGCCCACCTGATCCTACGGAAGATGCTGTCCAGGTCCCGCTTCATCTCCACCAGCGTCCGTGTGTGGTGCAGGAAGCGCTCGCTCATCTGCTGCAGGCGGGCACTGGACAGGTTGTTGAAGTTCAGCAGCATCTCATTGGTCTTTTCGAAGCGGTCCAGCCTGATGGAGAGGGGGTGAGTGGCCCTGCCCAACTTCCAGGGCACTGCCACCTAATGCTGCTGAGCCCTGGCTCCTGCCACAGCCTTTGCAGGAGCAGCTGCTCCCTTGGTCTGTGCGTGTTCAGGACACTCTGGAAACTCTTATTCAAGCCTCAAAACTCTACTGAGAAAAAAATAAACCCTACAGGCATGGCAACACATGCCTGTGGTCCCAGCACTCTGGAAAGCTGATGTAAGATCATGAGTTTGAGCCTTGTGTGGGCAATTTAGCAACTTCTATCTCAAAATACAAAATAAAAAGAGCTGGGGATGTGGCTTAGAGCAAAGGACCTGGGTTCAATACCCAGTACTGCAGAGAAAAAAATGTATCCTTGGGGCCAGGGATTTAGTTCAGTGGTTTCGCTGCCTGCTGCGTAAGCGCAAGGACCCGAGTTCGATCCCCAGTACCAAAAAAAAAAAAAAATGTATCCTTTGTTAGAGTTTGGATCTTTTTTTTTCCTTTTGGTACCGGGGATGGAACTCGGGTCCTTAGCTTGCAAGGCAGGCGGTGGAACTACTGAGCTAAATCCCCAGCCCTGCACCTTTTGTTTTTTGAGGCAGGGTGTTATGGTTTGTGTCTAGATGTCCCCTCAAAGCCTTTGCGATCATAGGTGGCCCTTTCAGAGGTGGCTGAATCTACAGTATGTGATGCTGGGATTAAGGGCATGTGATCACTAAAACAGTACGATGATTGGCTTGGCACCACCCTAATGCTGGCAGTCTAGAGAGGATAAAAGGGGCAGAAAGATGCTGTTAAGGTTCCCTCCTTGCTTTGCTTTTTTTTTTTGGTACCAGGAATTAAACTCAAGACCTTGTTGTGCTTGCAAGGCATGTGCAGTGCCACTGAGGTACATCCTAGCCCTGCTTTGCTACTTTCAGTCTGTCATGAACTGCTGCCCCTCTGCCATGTGCCACCCTGCTTTGGAGCCAGCCGACTATGGACCGAAACCTCTACAAACTGTAAGCCAAATAAACCTTTCCTCTTTAACTTTGGGTGTCAGGTATTTTGTCTCAGCAACAAGAGAAAAGTAACTAGGACACAAACAAGACACAGCGTCTCACTATACTGTGCCCCAGGCTAGCCTCAAACGTAGTAATCCTCCTGCCTCAGGCCCCTGGTGCTGGGAAGACAGGCAGACACCACCACACCTGGCTAAACCTTGCCTCCTTTACACTCTTACCTCAGGTATTTTGTCAGTCACAGAAAATCAACCCACGCACCTTCTCATGGACACGTCTTCCCCCACCCTACTTCCCCAGCCTTACCAGCCCCACGCTGCTCCTCTGGCTGTCCCTGATGCCGTGGGCCAGGAGGGCCCTGTCTGCTTCTGTTCCCCCTTAGCCTGGGAGGTCCCCAGGGGCCAGGTCTGAATCTTCCCTAAAGAACTAAGAGCAGGGCTGAGGGCGTGGCTCAGTGATGAGCACCTGGGTGGTGTCTGATGCCGGGCTCCACCCCTGCACCCCTAAATAGATGAAATTAAAGAACCGCTGGGAGGGTGTGGCCGCACCTGGCATGGCATCCAGGCTTGCCCTTCCCAGAAGCCCCTGGGGCACCCCAGCAGCTCACCACCCTCCCCCAATGGCTACCAGGCCCAGTTCCGTCCTGTGCTGGGGCCCACGGCATCACTCACATGTTCTTCTGGGCCAGGATGATGGCGTTCACATCGTCCACATTCACCATGCTCAGGATTTGGCTGCAGAAGACCTGAGAGGCCGAGTCCGGGGCATCCATCTCCTCCTCCTCCTCCTCCGCTGCCTGAAACAGGTGGCAACAGAGTCTGTTTGGCAACAGGGACAGCAAGGGGCACCTAGAGGTGCTGGACCCATGCGCTGGGCTTTGAGTCTCCCAGGGACCCGACAGGGAGGACGAGATGGGCTGGGTCACAGCACCCAAGCCTCAGTGGTCACCCTCAAACACGGTGTGAGCGCAGCTACAAGGGGTCACGCTTGAAACCCACCTCGCCCGTCTCCGGCCACCCTCCCTGTGCCCCTGTGCCGTCCCCATCAGCAGGACACAGGGCTGCTTCATCAAACACCACCACCTCCGCTGTTTTATGTCCCAAGAGATCTGTTTTACTTTGAGACAGGGTCTCCCTAACTCGCCCAGGCTGGCCTCCAACTGTCCATCCTCCTGCCTCAGCCTCCCAGGTAGCAGGGATCACAGGTGTGCGCCACCATCCCTGGCTCCAAAAGGTCTTCAGGACAAATGCTTTCGGATCACTATTCCACCTCCCCTGTTTCCTCCCTTCTGGCTTCAGTAACCAGTGGATCTCTTGCCCCAGCTACGTAGGTTCCAAGACGGCAGAGGCAAAGGCGGGTCAGGCTCCAGAACCCAACCTAGAACCTGGCAAGGGACACCAGGACTTGGTTGCAGGCATGCAGACAGCACTCTGCACACAGCTCAGATGCCAGACTTTGTTGGGGTTTTTTTGTACCAGTGATTGAACTCAGGACCTTGCACTTGTGAGGCAGGCGGCAGAACCACTGAGCTACATCCCCAGCCACTGAGCTACATCCCCAGCCTGCCAGACTTTCTTTTTTTTTTTTTTTTCCGGTACCGGTCATCAAACTCACTACCAGACTTTTATGAGCAAATGAAAGCCAAGAATTTAGCCGCTCCCAGCCAGGCTGTTGGCCCCAGCAACCAGACTGCTCTGTGGTTCCCAGTGTCCAAACCCACAGCTGATAGCCCCTGTGGGTGGGGCTCTCCACACCTAGCAGGGGCACAAGGGAGGGAGGCTTGGAAAAATTTAGAAACCTGATAGAGCTTGGCTGTGCACCCTACACATTTAGTTATCTACAGAAAAGCCTACTTTTGATCAATTACAATTCACACCCGGGGGGCCAGGGATTTAGCTCAGTGGTTTCACCACCTGCTGTGCAAGCGCAAGGACCCGAGTTTGATCCCCAGTAGAGAAAAAAAAAAAAAATAGAACAATTCACACCCAGGGGCCCTGTATAGTGGAGCACACCTGTCCTCCCAGCATTCAGAAAGCTGAGGCAGGAGGACTGACAGGAGTTTAAGGCCAGTCTGGGCTACACAGTGAGACCCAGTCTCAAAACAAAACACAAAAACAAAGAGGGGGGTGTGGAAAAGCCAAAGCCCATTCTACCACTTCCCCATTTATTGAGCACCTACTGTATCCTAGACCAGGCTCAAAGCTCACACACTGGGAACTGTCATCATGAGATGAGGAAACTGAGGTTCAGAGAAACCTAGGGCCCTAGCAACAGGCAGCAAACCCAAGTCACAACGCAAAGGTGTGTGACTAGGAGCTTGGTATCCACCTGGGACAGGCCAGCTGTGTTCCATAATAGCTCATTCCGACCTGAGTGCTGCCTCACTTTTATAGAAAAAAAATGCTAATAGGCATTCTTTTCTCAAGTGAAAATCCCTGCTTTGCAAATGGTAGCAATAAATTATTTCTTCCCAAATATGAAGGTGAAGAATATTTACTGTTTTTGCTTGTTTTTTGTCTATGTACCCCAGGCTGGCCTTAAACTCAGTGATCCGCCTGCCTCAGCATCCTTAGTACTGGGATCACAAGTGTGTGGCCCTACACCTGACTAAGAATATCTGTTTGTGTCCTGAATATGGCTAGCAGTTTGTAGCTCCTTCATCTCTTCTACAAGTGAGCTGCACCAGGCATGGTAGTGCATCCTTGTAATCCCAGCACATGCTGAGGCAGGAGGATCACCATGAGTTGGAGGCCAGCCTGGACCACATAGTGTGTTTAAGGCCAGCTTGGCCCAATAGAAATAAATAAAATAGAACTGAGCTGCATGGAGGTGGAGAGCTCCCTCTCCAGGTTTAACACCCGCTTTTTATTGAGCACCTATTACATGCCAAACTTGGTCACCCAAACTCACAATTGTGTATATAGAGGAGAATTAGAGCCAGACACTCTGGCCTGCACTTGCAATCCCAGCTATTCAGGAGGCTGAGATGGGAGGATCGAAAGTTTGAAGTCTATCTGTGTCATTTAATGAGGTTGTCTCAAAATTTTAAAGGCGGAGTGGGGCTAAGCAGTAGAGCATTTGCCTAGAAATCTGAAGGCCATGGGTTTCATCTCCAACACCAGAAAAGAAAGAGAGAGGGGCGGGGGAGGAAGGAAGGAAAGAAAATCAAGAAAAGCAAAGGAAAGAGAGAGAGAGAGAAGGAAGGAAGGAAGGAAGGAAGAAACAAAGATCACTGAGGAGAGCCCCACAGCTAGGGCCTGACAGGTGTAGGATTTGAACCTCCTGGGACACAATTCTGCTTCAAAGGAGTGCTCTTTCCGGTCTCTAGGTCCCAGATGCGATGGCTACATCTATGGGGTTTATGGCAACCGCTTTCCAAGACTAACCGCTGGGCCAACGCACACACCATGGCACGGATCCAGCAGGGCCTCGGGTCCCTGCTCTGAATCCATTCGTGGGACAAACCCGCAGACGGGAAGGTTTTGTGACCTTGGGAGAGTCCCTTTGCTTCCCTAGTTTCTCATGTTAGGAAATAAGACGATCTCTCCAGGCAGAGTGGCACAAACCCAGCACCCAGGAGGCTGAGACAGGAGGATCTCGAATTCGAGTCCAACCTGGGGAGCACAGTGAGACCCAGTCTTAGAAAAACAAAACAAAACAAAACTAAGAGGAAAAAAAAAAAAAAAAGACAAAAAAAGAATCAAGAGGACTGAAACCAAACAAGATAAAAAGCAAAGCTCTGGCCAGTCCGGGGCGCACTAAAACGGCTGAGGCCAAAGAATCACTATGGAGATCCTGCTTCTTGACAATAAAAATTTTAAAAAACGGAGCTCCGAGCAAGCTGTTTCCCTAACAGGAAAGTAAAGTCCCAGGACCGCCCAGGCATCAGCATTTGAAACAAAAGCCTCACCGGTGCTTCCAAGAATAGGAGAAAACACTTGTACTCGATTTGCATTTGATAAAGGCTTCTTTTAATCCTCTGTCAGCACTACGAGGCAGACACCATCACCTCCGAGAGAAACTGAGGCTCAGGGGGGCGGGCTCGGTTGCTCAAAGTCGAAGCTAGGCTAGGACGCCACGGTTAATTTAACCCAAAACCCCCGAGTAGGGCGGGGCCCGGGTTTGTGCGCACCGTCCCCACCGAGCGGGGAAACTGAGGCAAAGACAGTGAACGGCGCGGCTCCGGATGACACGGCACAATCTGAACACAGGCGGCCCCAACATCTGCGCCCCGGATCCGGATCGGGATCCAGATCCGGCCCGCGCATCCACTGCGCAGCCGGGGAAACTGAGGCCTTTGCGCAGCAGAAGTGGCCAGATGTGGTCAGCGGCGCGCCCCACCCCATGACAACCCCGGTGCAGCGCCCGACCCAGCCCGGCTCCCCCGCTGCCCCAGCGTCCCCAGCCCCACCCCAAACTCAACCCGGGCGTCGGGGGCGGCGGCACCTCCACATCTGGCAGCTTTGCTCGCGCTTCCGGGATCGCGCCCGCGCGCCCTGACGCCATCACGCACCGTGCGTACGAGAGTGCGTGTCGATAACGAACCGCGGGGACATACGCGCGTAAGCGGAGGCGCGGCAGGAAGGGGCGGGGTTATATGGCGCTCCGGTTCAAGTGCGCATCACGTTAAACAGTCAATCAGACAGTCCTTTCTGCGCCTGCTCAGTTGTCCAAGTCTGCACTACAAAGCAGCCCGGAAGTAGGCTGAAAGACAAATCCCATTATGTGGGAAGACTGCAGCTTCCGCCCCAAGACTCTGGACACTTTAATTTTCTGTACCCGAGCTAGACCCAGACTGGGTGTCAGATTCATTTGGGCTCATAATCTCTGCTATGTACAGTAAATGCTTTGTAAAAGTCTACGTGTTCAAGAAAGATATAAAAATAAAAGTTCTTGTTTAAACCGTCTCGCTGTTGTACGGGATGCTTTGAACTCGATATTAGCCAAGGCTGCCTCAAATGTGTGATCTTCCTGCCTCAGCCTCCTGAGCGATGGAATTAAAAGCCTGCGACACCATGCTCAGTTTAGATGTAATTCTGTGTGTTTGCCTTTTTCTTCTTCACGTCTTTTTTATTAGTGCACATTAGTTACACATATTGGTGATTACACTTTGGCAGCTTTGTACATGAATATAATTTTATTTTAATATATTTACTTTGAGACCCTGCCTCAAAAAAAATATTGTCGGGCTGGGGATTTAGCTCCGTGGCACCGCGCCTGCCTCGCAAGCACAAGGTGCTGAGTTCGATCCCCGGTAACAACCCCCCCCCAAAAAAAAACCAATATTGTCACTCGCAGGGACCCCTCGTAGGGAAATGTCGTGAGCTTTGCTCAGTGGCTGGCATACAGGGAGCGCTCATAAACGCTGCTTATCCTTTTCTACCTTCCCAACGGTTTCAAGTAGAAGGAGCGGCGCCTGTCTCTTTAAATTATGCAAATGATGACGCTAGAAGGGTGTATGGGTGGGGACAAGGTTAAAAAAAAAAAAAATGAAACCTTTAGCTCAGCCAATCAGCGTGCTGGACTAGTGGCGCGGCCGCCTGAATAGTCCAATGGTAGGCCTCGTGGATTCTGAGCCCGCCCCAGCTTCCTGGCTCCGTTGCGGGGCGGGTCTTTCTTTGGTCGGCCACGCCCCAGCCGTAGCTACCCAAGCTTCGCCGCAGGCGCCTAGGGTGGCTCAGGTGTCGGCGCGGCTGCTGGTGAGTGCTGCCTGGGCCTCGATTCCCCGTCGCGCCGGCCTAGCGCCCTGGAGGCTGCGGCGGACAGGGTTGGGCGCCGTGAGACTGTAGGGGCTCCCGGCCTCCCCAGGCAATCGAGGTCCACACCCGAGACGGAGGCCCCTCCCGAGACCCCTCTCCCGGCCACAGTGAGCGCGAGCGAGTGGCTCCGTGGCGAGACCCCGCCCCAGTCTCTTTATTCCAAGCCCCGTGCTGGTCTAGATCGGGGCTGCAGAGCCGAGTCCCCACCCACCCCGCGCCCCTCGCAGCCTGCACCCCGGGAGTCGAGGGGGGACCCTGATTCCTCTCCAGCGCCGCCCTGCAGACCCCAGGGACTGAAATGAAACTCGCTTCCCTTCTCCACGTGAACCCCCATCCAGGTCTGGCAGCTGGAGGATCGGGGGCCCCGCCCCCCCAGGCTCCAGTCCCAGCGGCCCCCTTCAGGACAGAGTGGGCGTCTCTCCACGGCAGCCTCTGTAGGGACCCCGAGGTCGCAATCGTGGAAGTAGGTGACTGTGGAGTCCCCTGCCTGGCAGGGATTGGCCGGCCCTGGAAGGCCAGGAGCCTGGACTCGGGGGTCCCTCCCCCTGGGGGGGGGGGTCCAGCATCTGTTCCCAGCGATGAAAATAAATCGGATAAATTAGGATCTGGCGGGAGGAGCCTGGCGGCAGGGCTGGGTGGGCGGCCCCTGGGTGGGCGGCCCCGCGTCTGCCCGATGCCCGGCGCCTCCTGCCCCTGCTGCTCTGGGCACCCGGAGGCCGCGTGCGCCTGCTTCCCTGGTGACCTTGGGCGGCGACGGCGCCTCGCTGAGCTCCGTCTCCTCTCGGGAAACTGAAGTCGGGGGCTTCAGACCCTGCACCCTGCAGATTCGCAGCCCACCCAGCCCACCTTGTGCCCGATGCCAGTTGATCCTCTGCTTCAGATGCGGCTGGTTGGGGTCAAGAGCGCAGTGGGTCCCGAGAGCCCTCCGAGGCCTCTGGGCCTCAGTTTACTGCCCTGCAGAATAGGCTGACGCCGCACCGGGCCTTGCTGGAGAAGCTGATCGCGGCTGGGGCTGGGGACTGTCCTGCCCGGCCACACAGCATCACCGAGAGCCCCCACCCTCAGCCCCGCGGTTCGGCCACCGGTCTCACCCGTGCTGCTGCCCGGGGCACACCCTGACCCACATACCGTCACCCACGCCAGGGGCGAGCCAGCTCCGGGGCGGGGTCCTGGGGGAGGAGTGGGAGGCCACAGGCCAGCGTCTCCCCTGTCCCTGGTCCAGGCACTGGGCCCACACCCAGGTTTGAGTCCCTTCCCCCTGTTGTGGCTTTGCCTCGGCCGCCTTGTTTTATTCCTCTGTGAAATGGGCTGAACCCCATGGGGAAGATCAGAGGAGACTGGGAGGAGGTGGCCTCTC